ACAGGGCAATATTCACACATAGATGTGAATATTTGATGAACCTCTTCTAGCAATTACATAAAATTCTTCCCTATCCAGGTTGTGTAGGATGTACACATATCTGATAAAGGGTTCTAGAAACATGATATGCCTCAAAGAATGATCATTACTGTATTGCACTTTTACAAAAGTTGTATATGTTTTTTCATTACTTTGTAAATGTGGTGTTTATGTATCATTTGAGGAAAGTAGATGGGAAGTATATTGAGCTACAGGGTTTGTGTGTGTGCATGTCTGTGTGTGTTTATAGTCAGAGGGCAATTTTAATGAGTAGCAATGTATGGGTTCTGAATGTTAAAATCAGGTAAGTTCCTCTGAAGAATGAGGCGGCTCTACATTTCTCCTTAGACCAAAGAAATGAATGACCCTTGTTGCCTAGACAACATGTAACATCATGTTACATTCAGTGGCTCTCTTCTTGGTAGAATGCCTTCCTGAGACCATTGCTTCATTGTTAGTGTGTCTCTCCTTTGAGTCTGTCAAAATATGAAGAAAGTTTGGAAGTTTCTGTATTGGAAAGTTTGGCAATAATATAGAGAATGTTATTGGTACTTCATATTCTCCTACAAATAATACCAGACATAGTTCCTTCTTCAAGTGTAGATAAGAGCATATTAAACTTTTAAACTGAAACTTCAAATTACAACTGTGGGCACCTAGTATTTATATTCAAATTTATAACGTATGTTTAAATTAAAAATATTTAAAAAAATGAGATTAAGTCACTTATGATCTTTCTAACTACAGAACCTACCCCCAAACACGATAAGACATTTAAACCCATTTATGAAATTCTTTTGAAGTTCTGTAAATATAAAGACCAATAACTTTATTCTCATTGAGACAAATAGAAGAAATAAGAGAAAGAATTCAAGTGACCAATGCCCATTTTGCTAAATGAATAAAATATAAATGATAGCTTTGAATATTATTCAAATATTGGGCTCTCCGATTCTCCACCTTCTTTCCTGAGAGTGAAATAAAAAAAAAATGAAAATAAACACACATACACACACCACACACACTAAAAATAAGGACAACTAAAAATAAGAATAACATTTCTATTGTTGGTTCTCACACAGTAACATCAGTTTTCACAAAACAAACCCTTTAACCATATATGTGTTGTCTATACACATATGTGCAATTCAATTGGATTTAATGGCTAAAAACAAACAAACAAACAAACAAACAAAACATACAAAAAGTCATAAGTTTGGAAGAGAACAAGTGGGATGCTATAGGTGACTAGAAGTTGGAAATAGGGCACATATAATTATATTACATTATATATATATATATAATTCTTAAGAATAAGCATAACATTGTAATAAAAGTCCATATTATGATGTTTACATGGGGGGAAGAGGTATTTTTGTGATAGTGCTCCTATAAAATATCTTAGTCTGGCTCCAGAGAATACATCCATTCCAGCACTTTGCATTTGTAATATGGTTAAAAGACCATCTCTACGAGTGCTAAATTTAGGAATAAGCACATTAACGTGGTAGAACTGCAGTGGGAATGTTTTAAAGTGAAAGGAGGCATTCCTCTCTCTGACTTCCTTGGCATACTTTGGTGATGAGCATAATGGTTCCAGGAAGAGAACTAAAGTAACTGTTAAAGACAAATCTGTGTCACTATGGTCAAAACCACAAATGAGATCCTGCATTCCATTTGTTATCTCTCTATCTGATCTATCATTGCATATCTATTACCCATCTGTTTATTTATCGTATTTCTAATCTTCAGCATCTACATAACATCTGCTTCATATAAGTGACAATATCTACTGTCAATATACCATCCTTATAACCTCAACATCTATCAACCTCTGTCATCATGTTTTTCTACTTACCTACCTACATATCTGTATCTATCCATCTTTCTAATCAAATTTTTATCATTAACAGATTTTTACAGACAGCATTGCCATTTCTTATAAGTAATGGAACACTTTTATATATGTTCTTAACCCGATGCTCTTAAATCTTTTTTTTTCTTGATACAATTAAAATATCAATTCTAGATCTGAAGCTCTAAACTTTTATAAAAACTTCAAATGAAGACAGCGTTATTTTTTTTCAGCATCTTGGGATCTACTTAAGAGATAAACCGCTTTCTCAACAAATATGAAATACACAGAAGAGGAACAATGTTTTAATCTTTGATAATATCTCATGGTCCACATTAAATTTGTTCCTATTTATAAACTTAAATTTAAAGAAAAGTTAATTTAAACCTTATTCTTTACTTTCTTCAGGATTCTAAGCTTCAAGTATCTTTATTCAGTAGAAGATGCACAAGAAGCCAAGTATGGAGTTATTCCTAATATCTCACCACACTTAATTTACCACACAGTTCATATTCTAAAGGAATTATGACAAAAGGTAGATATATAAAAGCATTAACGTGGAAGTATAAATATTCAAAATATTTAAAATTTTAAATATTTGACTACATTTTTAAAAGAATCATATTTTTTCAAATACAAATTTAATTCTGTAGTATGTTTCAGTGTGCATTTAAGTGAAGAGAAAAATTTATGGTAACAGATCAAACTAACAGTCAGTTGCACTGAAACATCTATTTTAAAGTCAGATGATAACCAAGCAACGCTGCTCACTTTAACGGAAGATAAGTGATTGCCAACATTTGCTGATGACACACTTGCGTGTATTCTTCAAATTAACTTTGATTTCAAATGATTCTTTCTTGAAAGTATTGAAATTGTCATGTTACTCAGATAACTTTTTTTTAACATAATTTTAAGCACTTGCCAAAAATTGTGGTTGACTCCCCTCATATATTCTAGAACCATTGTAGAAAATAATGTCTGCCACATAGGATCCCAAAGGAAAGGTTAACATACAGGCAAAAACATTAAAATAACTCTTCTCACCTGTCAAATATATGGAAAGGATATTGTATTGAATAAGCTGTGCATGTAAAGGAACAGAAGAAATGCAAAGTGACTGCCTCCATGCAAGGTGATATTCAGAAAAAGTTCTGATTTATTCACAATTTATCAAGTCATGAAAAGCAACACATCATTTATAAACATAATTTTAAAGCAACTTGAATTATGATACTGGTATTAAAAGCTATCACAATAAATTATTATTACAATTATGCATATACACACAATAATGGTGACCCAATTATATAAACCAGCTCAGACAGCTAAATAGTATGATGTTAGACAACATCTTTCATCTTATAAAATTATATTACATTACTATTGCCTTATTAAAATTATTGTATCTGTTACGTTGACATTAGGTTCATTACTTTTAAACTATTACCATCTGGTTTCTCTAAAATCCTAATTCATTTACGATTGTTGGATTAGTTTGCTTATAACTTATACTTTAAATTTTCCCTCCTTTGAAAGTATATAAACATATAAGATTGTTTAACATTTAATTTTCTCTATTAAATGAATATAATATGTACTCTCCACTGCAGAAAATTTCAGTGCATCTGATGATAAATTTGGTGGCAAAATACAAACACATGCTGCTTATTTCTATTCAAGTTTTTTGGTGATATGTGATGGAGCAGCCTGCTATTTGATCTTCCTTATTTTTAATAATATCTGTTGAAACTGTCATTCACTATTTTCAGACTCATTCCTCACTTGAAACAGCATTGCCTAGGCAATAGATCACTTTGAGAATCTGAAAATGTGATTCATCTTTTACCAAATTAAGAACATTGAAGAGAGATGACTCTATTGATTTTATCTAAATCACAAATGAGCCAAATGAAAATTCTCTCTTACACCACAAAAATTACCACGTTTATTTGATATTATAAAAATCATATTTTCAGACTATATAATTTGGGCATAGTTATGGAAAAGATGCTTGGAAATCTCTTGTGTTTTTAACATAACATAACATATGAAATGATAACAAATTTCCAGAAAAGACCAAGTTTTCACAAGTCTGTAATTCTATTATTTTCATCAAAATATCAATCAGACAAATTATTACAGACTTGCTTTTCAAAGATGATAACTTTCATTATACCATTTTAATATATAATGGTCTCTGAGAACTTTATCCAATTTAAAGTGATGAAATTCTACATCATTCTGGAGATATTATAAACAACATTGTAAAACACAAAAATCAAGGCTATTTTTGAGATCATGGTACTTACAAGAAATTGCTTAATGTGAATAGTGATATTGATTTAACAATGGAAAGGCAGAACAAATAATACTCCAGTAAATCAATATATTTTCTTATCATTTCAAACTTACAAATGCCAAATTTTACTTTTGGCAGACTATCTCATTTTCATTAAGTTTTGGCATTATTTTATTGTCCAATTACAGCCAACAGGTATGTACATTTAGAATGCTTCTATTAATGAGAACCACATACATTTACTGAAATGTCTGTGATCAAATAAAATTTTTACGTTAATCTAAACACATGAAAGATAATTCAAATCTCTATCTCATTTCTTCTATCTACAAAACAATTCACATTAAGAATAACAGTGCTTTTACATTTTCACCATTCTGACTCAAAGTAGTTAACAAAAGTTATGAGAAAACTAGAGGACCATTTCAAATTTATATAAATAAGAGTATAAATGTTCACATTAAAAAAATAGAATTCAAAGCTACTACAATGAACTAATACAGGTTGAACTTTGGTTTTATTTTTAAAATAGTAATTCGAAAGCAAATTTAAGCTCCTCAAAAATAGCTTGATGGGTATGAAGAATTTTAAAACCTCGAAAGATAATAAAGCAGTCCATAGTTTCACCCTGAGCTTTTAATTTTTATTTTTAAATTTTATAAAACATTACCTGCCACCAAATATTGTAAGAGAACAGAGCAGCCCCCCAAAATATACTTGAGAGGAGAAATCAGTATCTGTAAAACATTATAAGGAAGCAAAAACTGCCTCGCTTCTGTTTTCCAGTGAATAAATAACCCTTACCTTGTTTAGCAAAGGAACTGAGTTAGCCTCACTCAGCAGGGTTGATTTGATTTTGTGGTTGCTTCCCTCTTATTCCTTCTCTTCTCTTTTCATAGTGTCTTCCCAGCGGAATCTTCATGCATCTCACTGTGCTCCTCTTCCAGCACCACTTTTAACTCAGACAGGCAGGAATCGGAAACCAAAGGAACTCTCTGATTGGCTTCCATTCCGCGTTTCTGATTAATAAGAAACGTCCCTCATATAAGAAGATATTGCAGCTGATGGCGCTGCAGGGCTCCGGGTTTAAGGACGGGCTGTGCAGATCCCTCTGGCCAGAGCGATTTGCAAGTGAATAAAGTGGGAGGGCTGAGGGAGGATTTGCCAAAGACCCTTATAGGAGAAAATAACCCAGTGTTTTTAGGCTCGGTTAATCAGCCCTGTTTAATCTGTTTGCAGTTGGGAGAGAAAAGGTCACAGCACGTCTGTAACCCATAAATCATCTGCGGAATATGTATATCACGTGGAGCTTGCTGCTGTTCAAGAAGGATTCTGCGAGTACTCCTTACACAATGCCCTGCTCCCCACTTCAAGGCAATGCCAAATTCAAAGTCTAGTAAACGAAAAGGAAAGAACCCTGAATACATTCATCATCAATAACCATGAAATTTCATCAGTATATTTAGCTTATTACATAAATCAGCTTTCAAGAAAAAGGTAATTTTAAAATGTCTAAAAATTGGAGTTGTGGCATGTTCTTTTTCTGTAAAGGGAACAATTTCACATCTTTTGAATTTTCTAGAGCACTCATTGTTTTGCTTAAATACACAGTTGAGAGTGTTTGTACTCCCTGGGTAATGTTCAAAAATATTAGTGATCCTAGCCTCCTCACAAAACAACGTGAGCCCTCTGCCGAGCTCCCTGAGGTGTGCTGCTGGACTCTGAAAGAAGGAAAACCATCGCATCCAGGTAGACCTGTTTCAGAAGGGAAGTCTCTTTATTACCTCTGGAATTGGCACAATAAGAACAATATTGATGAATAGATAAATCCTTCTGAAAAGAACTTTAGTAATAGTCGGATGGAATGCACAGTGGGAGTCTGGATCACTTTATCATAGCTTGTTAAGTCACAGTAAGTAAATAGCTTAAGCGCCAAAAAAATATCAATATCCTACTCGATGCTTCAAAGAAAAACAGATAATAGAAAAAAAATTCTGGTAGTAGTAGTAAAAAAAGTAAAAAAGTTGATCTAGTAAAAAAGTAGCAAAGTTTATCTCATCAATGGAGGGTAGATTATGAAGTCACCTATTTATGACTTGTACCTTATGAAAATGTATGTCTGAAAAACTCACACAAAGTATTGGAAAAGAGTAACTCAACATGTTTCTGGTAAACTGTTCCACCATGAATGTGCAGTGGAGAGACTACAATTAGCATACAGAAATCAGGCAAGAAGGAAATTTTACCATCTTTTTTTTTTTTTTTTTTGTATGAAAATGAAACCAGGTATAAAAAGAAAAGAAAAGAAAAGAAAAGAATAAAAGGAAGAGATATCTGGAGTGTGATATCTAGGTGTTTGGGACAGCTTAATGAATTCTTTATGGACATTGCCTATTTTCTGGAGGGAAAAAAATGTAAAATTCACGAGTACTTTCAGAAATACTTCCAACAGTCTACATGTTACTTTAAATAAAATCGCATTTTAAAGAGAATACTTTGCTAATAGGAAGATAAACTATTGTATGTAAGTTGAGAAAAATGAAGTAAAAAGAATATTTTATCATGGTTTACAGTAAACATTCACAGGTAAAAGCTTTAAATCCCTTATGTTAAGCACTTTTAACTCCCTGCTGAAACATTGCTGTAAGGAAAAGACTATTTTGTGGAAAACCTACAATCCAACAGAGTATTCTGTAACCTAATTTCAAGCTATTTTTACTAATCCTAGAAATATAGGAAGAAAGCAGGTTTGAAAAAAAAAATAGCTGCCTCAGGAGTCTTCTGGCCTCACTCTTACTGGGAATGCCTTGATAAAAGAATATAACTTGGAATTATCCAAGCACGCAGAAAAGAGGTATCAAATCCATAACTACTTTTGTGTTTCAAATGTAATTGGCAGTCTATATCATATTAAGGAGACGTGAGCAAACATTCACTTAGTGCAGGCAGGGCACAAAACAATGAAACAGCTCTGTTGAAGTCTAGTTTGGAAGACTAATATGTTTTAGTAGGGTTGCTTATAGACGCATGGCAAGCTATGGACAGCTACGGCACTGAAGAAGAAAAAAATCTTTTAGAAATGGTGAAATATCTATTTAGGTTTAAAAAGTGCTGTGAAATCGTAAGGTACTCCTCTAAGATCTCTAAATTCAGTGTAAGTCTTGGTGTAAGGGAAGGACCCATCGGTACTTTCTTCCTTTAACTGTCTGCTAATCCTTAAATAGGGGTGATGCTTAATAAGCCTTTTCCCAGTTCCTAACTTGTTAATTTACTGGGCCAAGTCTTATGAAATTCTTCTTTAGTTAATCATGGCTGTAAAAGTTCAAGAGAGCAATGACCATATCATGCCCAAAGGGTAACATTGCCCAGAATCTTGTCCAGCATGTATGAAACGTTCTTTTTTTTTCTCATTTAAATTACTGAAGTTGAAATAAATACCAGACTTTGTAAGCGCCAAGCAAGAATACTGCATCTAAGCTAAGCCACAGCTCAAGACTAACTTTTAACGCTTTAAAAATGCAAATATGTTTGCATAGAAGTGTCATTTACATCATTATTTGTTTTTCTTTTTTTCTTAATTTTTATTTAATTTCACTATACTCTTCAAGAAGAGACATTAATTAGATGTTTATTGGGCAGTCATTACAGTATTTGATTGTGAAGTCTCCTGGTCTCCCAAAAATATAAACAAACAAACAAGAAAAAGGAAAAAAATAAACAACAATAACAACCATGTAGTCATCACTGATCCAAATGGCACACAAAACCCTTTGCATTTTCTTCTGCATACCCTAACTCAGTTACCTTTCCCTTCACTTCTGCATTCTTTAAACTATAATCAAAAGGGAAACACTCACACACATGCTTTGGTTATGATCAGGTTTGCCAGACCCCAACAGGAAGTTTGCACTTAACAGAAACAGGATGAGAATTTTCCATGTTAGTATTTAGTTACCTAAGTAAATTGTTTCTTACTGTCAACTTCATAAATAAATGTTTAAAGATTTTGTTCTTTGTCTTCCATCTTTTTTATTTATTGAAAGTAGATTCTTTTTGCATAAAATATGTCCTGTTTATAATGTCCTTTCCCTTTACTACTCTCAGTTCCTCCCAATTTTCCTACCCTTTGGATCTGCTTTCTCTCATTTGACTTGATATGCTGGTGTCAGTAGTGGAGGAGGGCTTCTCCTTTCTGAGAACTAGGGAAGAGGGAAAGGGAGGGACGAAGGAAGGATGGGACCATCATGAGATGAGGGATGAGGCTATGATCAAAATGTAAAATGAATACATTAAATTTTTTAAAAATTAATATGCTTATCTTATGTTATATATTAGGGTTTTTTTTGTTTGTTTGTTTGTTTTTAAGGGGAACAGGGACTGCCTCTGACATGAACTCAGTGGCTGGCTCTTTGATCACCTCTCCCTGATGGAGGTGCAACCTTACCAGGCCACAGAGGAAGACAATGTAGACAGTCCTGATGAGACCTGATAGGCTTGGGTCAGAGGAAAGGGGAGGAGGACTTCCCTTATAAGTAGATGATGGAGGAGCATGGGAGGAGAAGAGGGAGGTAAGGCAGGATTGGGATGGGACAAAGGAGAGGGCTACATAGAGCTGGGATACAAAGTGAATAAATTGTAATAAACTTAAAATTAAATAAATAAAAAGGAAAAAATATAGAACAAAAGTTAAAATGATTAAATAAAAAAATGAGAAGAAAGAAAGGAGGAAAAGGAAAGGAAAGGAAAGAACAGCCTTCTAATGAATTATAGCCAAATATGGTAATATCTATCTATCTATCTATCTATCTAATATAAATATATGCATATTGCTAATATATATATATATATATTAGTATGTTATCCAGTTATCAAGAAAGGTTTCCACCAGCAGGAGTGGAGGGGGGGAATGCAAGAGACCCACAACCAGACATCATGCAGAGAGAGAGTCTCCAACAAATCCCTTCCCTCAGAGTTCAGGCAATCCCAGGTAAGAGGAGGCAGAGTCTTAGAAAGATTCTAAGAGTCAGAGAGAATGGAGGACACAAGAAGAACAGGGGCCTCTGAATCAACTAAGCAAAGCCCACAGGACACCAAAGCATAAGTACAGCGCCTACAGGAGTCTGCAGCAGGTCTGCTGTTCATATATTATAACTATTAGCATAGCATTTTAATGGGACTTCTGACTGCATATATGAGTGTGCCTCTGACACTTGTGTATGCTCTTGGGACTCTTTTTCTTCCTGTTGCGTTGCTTTGTCCGATTTTGATATGATTGCTTCATCTTATGATGAATTAACCTTTCTTTAATAGTTGGTATTTGAGAAGTTCTATTAAATACAATTAATTACAGAAATATATATTCTGTCTGTGTTTTTTGTTTTTTGTTTTATTTTCTTCTTGGAATGCATGTTATCTATTACTGACAAAGCATGATCACTACATGACAGTTGAAATTAAAATGCTTGGATAGGCAAGATGTCTTAGTGGGTAAAGGCTCTTTTCACTAACCATGACTACCATAGTTTGATCCTCAGTGACCATATGTCCACAAGGTAGAAGTCTTTGATCTTCAACTAGTAACGTGGTGTGTGTGTGTACCCTTGAGCTCACACACCACACACACACACACACACACAAGAAATAAGTAGAAAAACAATAAATAACCCACTATCACAAATAAAAGACACAGATACCTGTTAGATTTTATAATTGCTTGGGCAGGGCAGATATTCCTACTTACCCTGTGTGAATCACCTCACCATCCACTTGCCAGGTCATATCCAATGCCATTCTCACTAACCATCCTGGCTTCTATCCATAATCTTAGAAATACTTGCTTTTATTTTTTATCTGGG